GGTCTGGCAGTGAGAAATCAATGAATAACCCCAACCATTCACAAAAGACGGCCCGTTGTACACGACTGGTTCCATGACACGTCAAACATGGTCGTCTGCCTGTCCTGCTTACCCTGACACATGAACGAATTGACCCCACCAATGGACGTGTAGCACGCCATGACTGGAAGCTAGCCGCTATTATGCTTCGTTCACACCTATGGTGACCAGATTTGGGTTTCTGAAAAGATGAGACTTTTTTGGGGGGGTTGCTGGGACCGCTGACCGGACCGCACCGGGCATTGGGACCGAACCTTGAGCTCTGGGGCTGTTCCGGGAGCCCCGGCGGCCGGGGACGGAGTGACCGAACCCGACCCGGTGACGGTATGCTTCACCCCCGCCTGGGTTCGGTCGCTCTGTCCCCAACCCTGACCAGCCCCGGAACTCACGGCTCAGTTTTGCTGCACTGTAGTCAAGCAAAACCCCGGAAAATCTTTTTATACTCTCAAGTTGTATAGTCTCTTCATTTTGTATTTTTTTTTCTTTCTGCTTATGTGAGCTGCTATATTCAATATCTACATAAAGGAATTGTGATTCTGATGCTTAATGATGCTTTAATGTTCTCCTGGTTCCTGTGCATCTCTGTGCAGAGCTCCATTAAGAAGATTTGGGCCACAGAGATACCTCTTCTGGGTCAGCGGCTGGCTGACTCTAAAAGACTGCTGTGTTCTATGTTAGACATTGCGACTCTTTCGCCGGAGCACAAGCAGCTCCACAACCAAACCGTACACTGCTTCCAGCGTATGCCGTCAATATTAGAGCAACACCAGCAGATCGTTGAAGAGAAGACGGAGTGTTTCCAGGTTGCTCTCAAGGTCGGTGGTTCGCCTGTGGCTCCTTATTGTTTACAGCTGAGGAACAATCTGAGGTTAAGGTGATTTACTAAGCTGTTGTTTGCTGGGAAATAAAAACATGCCTTTGTAATTGAAACATTGCAGGCAGAACGGGTGGAATTCACAAAGAAAGTGGAAAACTACAGCTTGGAGATTGAGACGTTTCTTGGTTACGATTACCTGTTGGATCTCAACGAGTATCTGACGCATGCAAGGGACCTTAATGCAAGGCTGGAATTGGACAGAGAGAAGGTAAAGTCTGAGCTCACTGTGTGAAACCATGCAGGTCTTACAGTAATAGCCATTCAAAATGTCCCTACTTTCCTTGATGGGTCCTTGGCTGGTCCTTGGCTGGTTCTTGGCTGGTCTTTGGCTGGTCTTTGGCTGGTCCTTGGCTGGCCCCCTACAATTCCTTTTTTAAACAATCTTTAAACAATCAATCTTTGTTCTAAAATATTCTTTCTGTCATGATTTGTGGACATTAAGATCTAAAGAGAAGCATCATCTCCTGGTCAGACCCTGTAATTCAGTGAAAGAGGGGAGTCAGAGTAAAAAAAAAAAACCTGAACAAGAAAAAGAAGGGGTCACTCCAGTGACTGGAAGTAGGCTGCCATTCAGATGGGAAGGGACATTTCGAATGCATTTACACAGTGTTTTTATTACAGCACTTCTACCACTAGAGGGCAGCATTGGATCTAAAATAACTTTTTTATCATTGGAGATATCTTAGATTATTTTTTTTATCTGTTTGTTATTGTTCCTTTCTGAGTTTACTGCTTTGCCTTTTTCATTTGTCCTGCCTGCAAAAGATTAACCAGTTTAATCTGGAGGAGGAGGCCTTCGGCTGGCCTGTGTCCCAGTATCCCCAGTGGACACAGATCCAGGAGAGGCTGACGCCATTTCTACGCCTCTATGAGACAGCCTCTGACTTCCTGAGAAGCCATGAACAGTGGCTCCATGGGCCCCTCTCTGCTGTCAACCCAGATAAGGTACAGAAAGTGGAAAGAAGATTGCATCTTCATTATGATCAAAGCTGAACATCTAATATTGTCAGTTCTATTTATGTCGGTGCTGATCTTTTTTCTATATTATTTATGTATTTCTATATTTTTATATATTAATTTTATCCAATTCAATTTATTTCTATAGCGCAATTCACAGCACATGTCATCTCAAGGCACTTTCCAGTTCACCAGATCATCCAGTCAGATTCATTCAAAGTTCTCTATCTAAGGAAAACTAGTTGATTCATTTCGACTCATTGACTCGAATGCAATCCTTCACATTAAGCATGCTTGTAGCGACAGTGGAGAGGAAAAACCCATATTATTTATATGATTTATATATTTTACTATCAGTTTTGAACAAATATGGTTTATTTCCAGTGTTTTTCCGGGTGGATCATCTAAATAAGTGGTCCTCCTAATACGGGGGAGTGGCGGCGTAGTGGTTAAGGCATAGAGCTTGGAATCCAGAGGTTCTGAGTTGTAGCCCCACACCCACAGACTGCCTCTGGATGCCTGAGCAAAGACCCTTACCACCCACACTGCTCCTTGGNTGAGCAAAGACCCTTACCACCCACACTGCTCCTTGGGCGCAGCAAAATGGCAGCCCACTGCTACCCAGGGGGATGGGTTAAATGAAGAGAGTTAATTTCGTTGCATTGTACTTGTGACAACGTAATGACAATAAAAAGCTGGAAGGAAAAAAAGATTATTAATTATAATTGTCAATCATTCTGGTGAAATATTTACGTACGGGTGAAAGTGGTGTTGGATGTAGGAGTATGCCCTGAAATTGAAGGGTTGACGGTTCAAGCCCCGGCTCTGACTTTCAGCGTCGTTGTGTCCTTGGGCAAAACACTTCGCCTGCATTGTCTACTGATGGTGGTCAGAGGGCCCGGTGGCGCCAGTGTACGGCAGCCCCGCTTCTGTCAGTGAGCCCCAGGGCAGCTGTGGCTACAATGTAGCTTGCCACCATCAGTGTGTGTGTGAATTGGTGAATGAATGTAATGTAAAGCGCTTTGGTGCTATATAAGTACATGCCATTTACATGCCCATCCCCATTTTCCGAGTCTTGCGAGTCTGACATAGTAGAAAAATTGCAAATCTCCTTTTGGAAAGTAAACTTGTAGGAGCGATGCAAACAGAAACTTTTAAACAGAGCGTGCACGAGGAGAAAGGGACTCATGCAAGATCTTGCACGTGTTTAATAGCCATTCCCTCTCTGGAAAGGGTACAAGGTTGTGCATGTACATTTTCTTTTTAAAGTGGAGAGGGCGGTCTCTTTTTATAAATTTGCAACAACCCTATGTTACTGCTTTAAACATTTAGTTGTCTTTCACCAATTTAGTCATTTAGATTATGGCTGTCAGCAGAGTTATTAATCATCACCCAAATAAGTGTGTGTTCGTTTGGATGCTACTAAAAGAAGATAAACCGTTGCATAAAATAAACACAAAAGACCACGTGTTAAAAATACAATCGTATCTGTATTAGCTACAATTACACAGTATTATTATTTCTAATAGCAGCACAGGTACTAAACATTACTATAAATAAGCAAAAACAAACAAATGAAAGGGAAAGGGGTTTAAGAGTCGGTTCAAAGTCTGAGG